GGAGGGTATAAAAGGAAGACCAAAACAAAACCAGCACAGTTACAGGAAAGGAGGAGAGAAAGAGAAGTGAAAATAAGAAAAAATACTGCAGTCTACTGAAATTAAACACATGTAGGTTGAAGAAATGGTTTTCCATGTTCACCCTCTCTCAGTTGGCCAAGCACAGCTCCATGCCGCCCACCATGCCCCCACATGCTGCAGATGGGCATTTCTGAGAAGCAAGCTGAACATGAAGAACCACAGGGGTTTGACCTTCTCACAGATGCCTGAGCAGGAGCTGGAACAATGGAGTTGCCCAAAACTGCCCCTTGATGAACACAAACAAAAAGCATTTATCCCAGGTCTGAACCCTATGCATATTCCTCCCAACCTGGGGGTCTCAGGCTGAGCAGTGGCAGGGTGCACCTTACAAGATTCTTTGCTACAAGATGAGCCCCAAGAAATTCAACCAACTCTACATTAGACATTTTTGATTTTTCCTTCGTTTGGTGCTGAAGAAGAAATGAAAATGTGGGCATAGGTGAGTGATAAAGCACATCAAAAGGGCTCAAAAGGGGGGGGTGGGGAGGGAAAGGAAAAGAAGGAAAGGAAGAAGGGAAGTAAAGAAATGTACTGAAGTGAAATGGAACCCAGAAGCTCTGGAATGGCCTTGCTATACTGTGCTGTTGTAATAAGAGACATTTTCTAAGCTGGCAAGCATTGCTTGATGGTCACATTCTATGCTAAGCTAGTTTGGTAGTCACTGCTACTCAGGAAAGCCCATTATGTGAGGGTTTCAGCCCCTGACAAGGGACAGAGGGACACTTCTACTTGTCCCATTATCCTCAGCACTAGACAGTCAGTCATGTTTGCACTTTTTAGAAGCTAAGTATGTGATTCTCTTCCCAACCTCATGTTGAGTAGTGCCATTCTGGGAGCTTAAAATGGGTTCTGGCCCACCCATTTTCCAATGGGCACATATTTATGTCACAGAAATTGGCAACCACTGTAGATCAGTGTGTGGTGTGTTGGTTGCTGAAAAGCCTAACTCTGGCCATTCTTCCCCTGGGCCTCCAAGAGTCAGCAAAGTGTAGGCTTTGTTCCTATATCTACCCCTCCCTGAATGCTCTACTTTCCATCTGACAAAGATAAAAGAAAACCAAAATGCACTCCTCTGCTCAAAAACATAGGTGAGATTAATTTCTCCCCCCCCCGCAAGGGTTCTCAGGTGAGCTGAAGGTTCTATCTGTAATTTGAGGCAAGGGGTAAGAAGCAGAGCAAGGTTAGGGAATGGTGCCCCCTCCCATATAAGGAAAGTTCTTTCCTGCTCAGAATCTTGGGTTCCTGTCCCCCACGAAATACAGCCTCTGAGCTCAGAATGGAGAAAGTAATGACAGGACCAATGAGGGTAGAGGTGGATACTTCAGGAAACTTTGGACAGGAGTGTGACTAGTATGGAAGCAGCTTGCTAATTTGTATTAAAATTATTTAGTTACAAAGGTGTAGGCTTTTTAACCTAAAGAACTATTTTAGCAAACATGGTGTGTGGTTTAGATATGAAGTGTTCCCCTAAAAAGTTTTTAGAGTGGGTTTCAAAGCCAGTCCAGAAAGTCCATGTGACTCTATTTCCAATTAAGCAACAAGAAAAAAGAAAGTACATAGTACATTAAAAACTATAACAACAACAACAAAGTTTATAGAGTAAGGACTTTGTCCCTGTAGCAAGCAGTGTTGAGAAGTGGGTACTGGGGAATTGACTGGATCATGAGGGCTCTGATTTCATCATCAGGTTAATATACTAATTGGATGGAAAATGTGCAGAATATGGGGGCGGGTAGGGGGGGGTAAAACTGTGGAAGGTGGAAGCTACTTGGAGGAAGTAGATCACAAAGGGAAGGGTTTATCTTGTATCTGACCTGTTCCTTTGTGCTGCTTTCTGCTTCCTTGCTGTACCATGGTCATATACCATGATGTGTGTATCTCACTGTGGTCCAGAAACAACAGAGCCAGTTAATCATGCACTGAAGCCTCTGAAGCTGACAGCAAGAATAAATCCTCCTCCCATCAGTTGCTTTTCTCAGGGACTGTGTCACAGCAGTGATGGAACAGAAAAATGAGGTCACTGCGGTGAAAAACCTTGACAAATGTGGTTTTCCTGAAGCCTTTGTAACTGGTTTGTGGAAGGAATTTGGAAAAGCCTGAAGAAGTGGGCTAGAAAAATCTTAGAATGCCATAAGTAGAGTTTAATTGGCAACTAAATGGGAACTCTAAACACCAGAATGCTTAATAGGAATGTAGACAGTAAAAACTATTCAGGAGGTTTCAGATGGGAGCCAGAACTTAGGAAATGGAGTGGAAGCCACTCATATTAAATTCTAGCAAAAAACTTATCTTCATTTTGTCCTTTTCCCGACACTTGTAGAATGATGAACTAACTTATTAAGCAAGGCCTTTCAAGGCAGCTCACCATTCTGGCTATTACATTGGTATAAAGGTTTTGCCTCTCTCTCTTCCCACACTCCCCCTAAACAGATCTGCTCTACTACACTTCTCCCCCACGGATATTCTGCCTTACACCCTGAAGGCCCTGAAGCAATGTAGTCAGCTGAACATGTACTGTTCAGTTGAAACTTGAGTCAAAAATAAAGCTTTCCTCCTTTAAGTTGTTTTTCTCAAGAATCTGTCACAATAATGAAAAAGTCTATTGCACATGAATAGAAAAATATATATTGACTGTACTACCTTTGATTAAATACTGAAAATCAAATGCAATTTAATTAGTGAAAAGTTAGAAAAATATGGGATGTTAAAACTAACGAGAACTATACTTATTAACATAAAAGTACACTTACAATAGTTAAGTGGAAAAAGTAGGCTAAGACAATAGGTAAAACTATAAATACAAAGCCAGGCACCGATGGCTCACGCCTGCAATCCTAGCTACTCAGGAGGCTGAGATCTGAGGATCACGGTTCAAAGCCAGCCCGGGCAGGAAAGTCAGTGAGACTCTTATCTCCAATAAACCACTAGAAAACTGGAAGTGGAGCTGTGGCTCAAGTGGTAGAGCACTTGCCTTGAACTGAAGAGCGCAGGGACAGTGCCCAAACCCAGAGTTCAAGCCCCACGACCGACCAAAAAAAAAACAACTATAAATATAATTGTGTTTGTACATATGTATGTCTATGGATTAATGATCTCACACCAATATATATGTATGTATGATCATACCTATCATCAAAATAATGTCAGCAGAGAAAACAGTTGGAATACAGATATTTGTTTGCAGAAAAGGAGAGAAGGAAGAGGAAAGGATGAGAGAAGGAGGGAGGGGAAGGAAGAGGGAGAGAAAGAGGAGACTTAACTTCATTTATTAATTTTCCTACTAGAAGCATCAGTTACGCATGTGATAAAAATGCTTTTTGTGTAAGAATACTTATAATCGCTACCTGTGCTGGGGATGTAGCTCAGTGATAGAGCTCAAGGCCTTGGGTTCCATCCACAGCAGCACATATGTGCACCCACGCACCCACGCATACGCACACACACATGCGCGTGCATCACACACACACACACACACACACACACACACACACAGAGCTGTCCTATACAAAAAGTCCAGATGGGCTAAAGTGAGTGAATAAGGTGGCACTCCTGTGTGCGAGGCTTGGCAGGCCTGGCATTCACTTAAGGGAGAGACCTTAAGTCACTCCATCCCTGGCTGCCTGAGACCTAGATGCCCAAATGTGGCCTAAGAGCTCAAAACTGGAGGGTGGGTTAAGCCTAACTTGGGTCTTGTCTACTGACTAGACCCGATTGTGAGCTCTATTTCCATAAACACAGGGATCTCTATTCTAGCTTATCCTCACTTCTCTGGCAGTCTGCAGCTCACCCCAACCATGCAGCACTAATGGTATAGATGCACCCTTTTACCCCTCCAGCACCAGGGTTACCTTGGCCATGGAACCTAAGGGTACTGAGGTTCTTGAGGGTGGGGTTCTTAAATCAGTTTTTAAGAAGTACCCTGAATATCCCTGAATTTCTGAATCTCCATTGCTTCTCCACTGCTATAAGCAAAGGAACAAAGGGATTAGGAACTTTAACAGAGGTTTTAATGAACTTCAAGTGACAAAACAAAGACAAAAATGTACCATTTTTACAAAATGCTATTATCAAGAGGCAGGAGTTCATGCATCACTTATGCATTATTGTGAGAAGGCCAAACAGCAGAAACATACAGAAAGGATAAGAGAATCACAACACTTTAAAGAATTTGGTGAGAGGACAAATGATACAGAACGTTCAGTAGAAGTGACCGTTAGAAACGAGACTTTAGCAGCATTGGTGACTACATTGAAGGAGACAGGAAAACCAGGTTTCTTATCCTTTCTTTTGGTATGTGAGGTAGGGAGCTGCCCAGCAGTGCTTGAAACAAGGCATTGATCAACAGTAGACAGTTTGAGTTATGGGTTTCATTCTGCAAACACTCCTGCTGCCTCAAAATCAGGGTGTCATTAGGGTGAGGGGGCCGGGGCACACTGATAGCTGTCACCATAAAACACTCAGTAGACACTTTGCTCATAGAAGCAAACTGTGTCCATGACTAGAATGGAAGCATAGCAAACCAGTGCAACCTGCAGACGTACTTCCTCACTCAAAATGGGAACTATACAATGTACAATAGCAAACAGCAGCTGCCCACTGAGACAGTGTGATCCCTAGATCCCACCCACATCCAGGCAAGGAGGCCAAGCGTCACTCTCCATCCCCACCAAACTGCACGACCCACAAGCCTGCCTCTCTCATTCTGCTTCAGTGCAGTCCTGCTCCCCCTGCCTTGCCCTCTAAGGAAATGCTGCCTGAATTATACAGGGCCAGTTGTTTGAGTAGGGGTTAAACTACAATGTCAGGGCATTGGGCCCCATGTGGGGTAAGGGAACCAGCACCATCTCATCTGCAGTTTACACAGGCGGTGGATGGGCGGGCAGCTAGTCAGGCAGGCGGTAGCCTGACAGAGCACTCACCTGCGCATGCACTCAAGGGCCTGTGTGAAGACCTGTGGGGCCATGCCGTGTTCATGCTGCAGGATCAGGCACTGTTCCAGTGTCACAGACATGGCTGTGCGGTCCTTAGCGCTCTTGCAGCTGGTGAACCGGACCCCATTAAGGCGGCGGCAGACCTGTCAACAGGAAACAAGATGTACTTAGGATGGCAGAGTCCACAGAAGGGCAGTACATTTCTATAGAGGGAGGCTCTCAAAGGCCTATCAGGGACATAGGCAGTAACTCACATTCAATCCTAGCCTGTCTCAGCTTTCTTCCAACTCCATGTTCTCCTAAGCTGGTATCAGAAAATAAGTCATTTACAAATAAGCGCCTCAATGGGTCAGGCTGTCCAAGGGTCCTGTCTCCATCCCTACCACTCTACCCTTCCTGTGTCTGAGCTACTACTCTATAGACTTTATTGCTGTTCTTCACTGATTCTTACCAGCTATCCCCATCCAAATCATACTAGAACCTTCCTGGGATTCTACTGTCAAGTCCCACTTGGGAGGCCAAGGCCACCTGAAGAATCCCCTGGTCCCTGGCCAGATCTCCATGCCATTGAAAAAGAACAGACCTGCTAGTCTCCACAGATTGGAACAGTTCAGAAAAGCTGCCTTCTGAGTACCAGGCTCCACAGGCTCTTCTCATTTTGCCCCACCTCCACACCTGTCAGGGCCCTGCCTGGCTCATATAGGTGAGAACAGGGTAGCCCCAGACTACCCTGTAGCACACAGAGCAGCTCCTCTACACTCCTAGGTTACAGTCTCCAAATCCAGCAAGCTTTTGTCTAGGAAGGAATCTACAGTGCCAGGCTTCCATCCCAATGGGCCAGCAACCATCCCTGATCAGAAGGTCAGGACCGCCTACCTGTTAAATGAGGAGTTAGTCTTGACCGAAGGTATTCTAGCCATTTAGCCACGGACTCTTTGTTTATACTCAGAAATAAGAAGAAATAAGACCCTGAAAAGAAACTCTGTAAAATTTGGTATTTGAGCGGTGTGGCATTATTTTTCCCCCAATCATCCAACCCCAGGGATGTCCAGGGCTCAGTGGGCACTATGAAAATGGACACATCAAGAGTCCCAGTAGCCTCATGAATCTATGCTTTGATACTTCAGTGCTCTACTGGGAACAAAGACAGACTGTCTTTCTGGCCTAGTGACGGGGATGGTTAACAGCCCCTATATTTAATCTAATGTATGGTAATAGAGAAACAGAACCATGGTTCCCAAACAAGGCATTCCCAGGCCTCTGTATCTGCTCTCAGCTATAGAGCTATGTGTTTTTCCTAAAGAGAATAAATAATGAACTACATGTCCCATGCTAGTGTCCAGGAGTCTGGCTGTGTCATCTCTGGACTCTGAAGTTCACAAAGGCACTTGTTTTAGGAAGATGTCACAACATGGCCAGTCTCCTCTTCTAAATGGAATAAAAGAATGTTAAAGGTACCCTCTGCCCTGATGTGAATGTCCCACATCATCACATCTACTGGGCACAGCCTGAGCAAACACAAACAGATGATGAGCCCTATACCAAGAGAACCCCTGAAAACTGAGGCTGTGAAAGCTATGAGCTTCCAGAACTAATGCTACAAAAAAAAAAGCTCTATTGTAATTAAATGTCAAAGGTCAGGGCTAGTACTAGTGTCTTATATTTGTAATACTATTTACTCAGGAGACTGAGATCTGAGAATCTTCGTTTTAGACTAGCCTAGGAAGATGAATCTTCGAGACTCTATCCCCAATCAATCAAGCCAAAAAGCAAGAGTATTAGACCCTGAGTTCAATTCTCAGTACTGGTATGCATGTGCACTTGCACACACACACACACACACACACACACACACACACACACACACACAGCACTGTCAAAGGACAGCTTGGCCAGAGAGAGAAGATCTGAACAATCACCTAACGACCTAGTTCATATTTTCCATTAGTGTATCTTGCAGCTCCAAGAAGATAATGAGATCATACACAAAAGAGAATGTCCACTCTTCAAAGCTTCATTCAATACAAGAGTAGGAGCAGTCATAGCCATCAATCATCTAGCTATATAACAGCCAAGAGCCTCATATAAAAAATACATCTAGAGCTAAAAAAAAAATTAAACCCCCAATTAAAAATCCTCAAAGAGACAAGCACTCCATTAATAAGTAGGCTAAAGAATTAAAAAGAGACTTCTCTGAAGAGGAAATAAGAATAGCCAATAGACACATGAAGAAATATTCGACATTTCTGGCCATAAAAGAAATGCAAATCAAAACAACATTGCGATTCTACCCCCCCCCAAGTTAGAATGGCCATTATCAAGAAAACAAATAATTAGTAGATGCTGGCAGGAATGTGGCCAAAAGGGAAAACTACTGCACTGTTGGTAGGAATGTAAATTGGTCAATTACTCTGGAAAGCAGTATGGAGGTTCCTCAAAATAATAAACATAGAACTACCCTATGATCCAACATCCCACTCCTAGCATTTACCCAAATGAACACAAACAAGGCCACACTAAAGCTGCTAGCACAACTATGTTCACTGCAGTAATATTTGCCATAGCTAAGATATGTAACCAACCCAGATGCCCCTCAGTAGATGAATGAATCAAGAAAATGTGGTATATGTACACAATGGAATTCTATACTTCCATCAGAAAGAATGATACTGCCCCATTCATAAGGAAATAGAAAGACTTGGAAAAAATCATATTAAGTGAAACAAGCCAGACCCAAAAAAACATAGGCTCCATGGATTCCCTCATTTGTAATAATTAGTATATGTCTAGGATAGTCCTAGCAGATGATCACAATAGCTCAATAGCTATGTACATATGACCATATAAAATGATGCTAACCGAAAAAGCTACCAAGATGGCGACGGGGCAGTAGGGAAACGCCACAGCTCTCTCCAACCAAAAAGAGAGTTCGAGTTCCAACGCTTAATCTCCCCAAGAGACCGACAACAACAAAAAGACGAACACTCAGAGAAAAACCAGAGGTT